AGACACCAGGGTTTGGCTTTTCCTTGCCTCACCCTCTTCAGACTGGGCCATCTCAGCCTCTCCTTTATGCCATCACTGCTCTCCTTGTACTCCTTTATTCCTCATATTCCTGAGGAGCAAGGTGYCTGTCTTCCCAGCACAGTGAATTTAGTGTAATTTTGCGTGCCAAGTGCTTACCTTCCTCCTAGCTTCTAGGACATTTGTTTCAGAGGGGTTTTTTTTTGGAGATTTTTAAGTTACAGATGGTTTCTCAAGTACCTCCCTCGAGCTGTGCTCCTGGTATACAAAGTTTATCCCGGGATAAATGGGCAGATTTCTGCAGGGGCCCTTTGTCACAGCCTTGGCAGCACAAAGCCACTGTTCTGTAGAGTTTGGAGCAGAGGAAAACCGTCTGGATGATAATTTACTGATAACCTGCTCCCTCCAAGCTCCTCTCTGAAGACTCCTGAGCAGGCAATGGACTTCCAGTCACCAGTGCCTGTATTTTTTTATGTTTTCACTCAATTTATATCCTTGTTGCATTTCCTCCCACTCCTGCTGCTGCTTCATTAGTGTCCAGAAGAAATATGTGTGTCGGGGAGCCAGGGGGAGTCTGGTTTGTGATGATGTTCCCAGACTGCCCTCCACAGTTCCCTTTGTCAGGGCTTGGCTGCAAACCAAACCCTTCAGCTTTCCCTGCTGGGCTGAGTTTGGATTAACTTCGGCCTCCCAGCAATCATCATCATCATCATCATCCCCATCATCCTCATCCTCACCCTCATAATCATCACCATCATCCTGCTCCCCTTCCAGCTTGGCCCCACACCAAGCTCCCAAAATCTCCTTCCTTCCTGCTCTACCTTGTTCTCCAGGAAACACCAATTGATACTGCCTTCCTGCTGCCTTGGGAGTTTCCTTGCACACAGGAGCTTCAACACTAATTGTAAAAATCTCCTGGAGGAAAATAGCAGGTTTGAGGATCAGATGGAAAGAGGGAGGAATAATCCTGCTGCAACTTCCCACTGCCCATTTAAGGAGAATTCACTCATTTACACTTTGCACCACAAAGGCTCTGATGAAGGAATTAATCTTTGTGTTGCCACATCTYATGAAGTGTTCAGATGGATGATACTGGAGCATAACTCTGGTACTTATCACACAGATATGTTATTGTCAGAGTTCCTGTTGGAATACCTCTGATTTGTTAGCTAAAACTTGKAATTGAGGGGAGAAAAATACCCAGATTTTATTTTTAACTATTCTACGTAAAACACTCGTGGTTTATAAGTTTTTTTATCATCTTTAGTGGTGGGAGTCTCCTATTAATCTGTACTGGCTGTTCTTGACAGTCACAGTGTTCATTTCTCAGGATTGTGTTGGGATGTAGAGTCAGTGTCTCGTTCCTTGCCTGAGTTAAACACTGAAGACAGATTTGGAGCTGAAACAGATTTAGAGTATAAATAGAAGTACAATCAACTTTTTTTTTTAAGTATTCAAGTGTATTCTGGAATATCTCAGATGTAGTTGTTAGATATTTAAGTGATAATCAGAGTTAATACTAGTAGGGAGGAAGAAGAGCRTYGTAAAGAGTCTAAACTCAATACACAAAGGTGATACAGATTGAAAAATAATCCTGCTACAACTCTGTATCCAAGATTTCTTAYTTTGAAGCCAAGTTAAACCTCATTTAAGATAATTCCATCGGAAATAGGAGGCCAAAATGTCCTCAAGATTTGACATCTTGTATGTATGAGAAAGGGTATTAATCTCTATCGTATTCTGTGGGAAAAGGAATGGAGACCAAAAGATATTTTTGTAACCTTTCTGATCTAGTGCTTAAATGCAGTGTAATAGTGTATAGGTATTTCAGAGAATGGAAATCCCTTCAGATTTTACTGCTTTTTCCTATAATTGTGTATTTGGAATCCATTTGTCAGGTTTATAGGGAGACTCAACTCCTCTCTTGCCTGAAATAAATCAGTCTAATCTGTTTTCCTCTCTTATTTTAAGTAGGAAATTTTTCTTTTTACTTAGAACCTAAGAAGGATTCTAATTCTCTGCTCAGAAGTAATTTGTTGAGGAAGGATTTTCTTATCCTTCTGTCTTTTTCTTACCCACAGAGATTGAAAAGGACACAAGCAATCCTGATCTGTTCTGAGTAGTTATTTGTTTTTCTTCATGTTTGCCTTGATACTAAGCAGCATTTGAGCATTTCCCAGTGCTTCCATCCTGAAAGCAGCCCACTAAAAGAGTGAAATATTACCCTCAGCCATGGAATTGATGCATAAGGAAATTACTTATTTAACAATAATTATCACTGAGCCAAGAATTTAACTTTGTCATTCTCAACCATCTGTTGTTTCATAGGGCCTGCACTACAAAAATAGCAGCCACTCTGTTAAGCACTGGGAAGAAATCTTAGGGAGTTAATAACTGTTTTCCACAGGCAGAATTAAAGGTATTTATTTGAGTCAGCTAAGTAAATTTGCTTATGTGATGAAAACAAAAAATTGGATTTGCAATATTCATTAGAAATGATACATTTTGTGTTGCATAACATAAAATACCCCTCCAGCAGCTCCCATCAATTGTTCTCCTGCCTGCAGCTCCAGCCCACCCTCCTCTGTGACATTAGAGAAAAAGGCAGCAGGGAACACAAAACTCGTTTTTTTCCTGCCTGAAGAAAAAACAATTTTTATCCTTTGGCCATTTTGGTTGATCCAAGCCTACAAATGTGGAAGAATACTTTATACTTTAAAATGTGCGCTCCACACAAAGGTCAGTCAGAGTTTCTATTATTTGTGACAGTTACCTGGGTACCTTCCTGAACAATATTTAGAATCATTTCAGTGCAATTACAGCTTTTTAATCTTAATCTCTGAGGTAGCTGTTATACCCAGAAGGCTAAACTAGGAATTAGTGATACGGGAGATGTAATTTTTTTAAGTTTTTCTTTTTCCCCCACATGTAGCCAGTTTATAAAACAGATTTAAATATTGGGTGTCTTGGAGCACAGATATTTTATTCTGAAGTTCTCAAATGCTGAAGGATTAGGGATTTCTCAGGAGAATGCATTGACTCTGAAACCTTTTGAAGTGTATTTGGATAGCTCTTATGGCATTAAATGACCAAACAAAAAAAAAAAATGTCATCTTCTAGTCACAAAGTTCTTGAGAATCTCAGGAGGGAAAAGCCTGCAGAAATGCTCTAGTATCACATGAGGGGTTGAAAAAGAATTATTTTCCTCTACATTAACAGTGGTAATTCTTTCAAATCTAGAGGCATTCAAATAATTTTTAGCTGAATTTTAGGAACTATTAGTAATTTTCATTTACTAAATAGTATGCAGGATATAGAACATTTAGAAGCTACTCATTCTGTGACAGAGAAGTTCCCGTGGGGAATTGGGCAAGGAATGATGTGTAAATGAGACAAAACTGTTGAGATTTGGACTTCAGGAGGGCAGACTTTAACCTATTTAAGAGACTTATCCAGAGAGTTCCTTGGGAAGCAGCCCTTAAAAGCAAAGGAGTGCAGGAAGGGTGGGCATACTTCAAAAGAGAGATCTTGAGGGCACAGGAACAGACTGTTCCAGTGCGACGAAAGATGAGTGGGCGAGGCAAATGTCCATCCTGGATGGACAATGAGGTTTGGAAGCAACTTAGGAACAAAAAGAGGMTRTATCATCTTTGGAAGGAGGGTCAGGTCTCTCAGGAAGTATTTAAGGAGGCTGCTAGGGCATGTAGGAAAAAAATTAGGGAGGCCAAAGCTCAGTATGAACTCAATTTGGCAACCCTTGTGAAGGATRATAGAAAAYGCTTTTACAAATATATCAATGAAAAAAGGAAGGGCAAGACCGACCTTTGTTGTCTATTGGATGCGGAAGGGAATTTAGTAACTGCAGATGAGAAGAAAGCGGAAGTGCTTARTGACTTCTTTGCCTCGGTCTTTACTGAAAAAACACATGGTGCTCAGGACAACTGTCCTCCTGGGTTGGTACATAGTGTCAGGGAGCAGAACAGTCCCCCTGTTATCCAAGAGGAGGCAGTCAGGGAACTGCATCCACCAGGCGGGTTACCTGGTCATAAAAGGAGACCAGGTTGGTCAAACATGACCTACCCCTTCTAAACCCATGYTGGCTGGSTCTGATCCCCTGTCCATCCTGTAGGTGCTGTRTAATAGCACTCAATATAAACTGTTCCATGACCTTCCCTGGTAC